AGCGTCGCACTCCGTATGTTAAAGGGACGCTCCGGCTACACGACAGCCGGATTTATGTAGGAGAAACGTTCGCGAGAGTCGTGGAAATGTGTGCGCTTATCTGGACTAGGGAGAGTTCAAGCAAAATGCCAACCCAAACCTGAAGTGGCCGAGGGTCATAGCTAAGGATGTGTGGGCGATTGGTTCTGTGTTTGCTCAAGGAGGTGTGCCCAGCACATTACTGTCTTTACCCCCATTGGAGAGAATTTGCTCACTTCCTGTCTTGTCTTCCTGTCTTTCCTGCTGAATAAAACCCGACAGCGGTTATACCTAGTAATGAGCGGGGGGCTAGGTGCAAACCCAATTAACCCAAGCCTGCGCAAAACTGTGCTCGCCCCCCCTCCCGGCCCAGTCAGTTGTGGCAGACACGTCAAAGGGGCAGGGAATACCCCTGCTACAGCTTATGGGGCCAGGAGGGGAGTGTGTCTGGCATAGTTTTGCACAGGCTCTGGCGAATTGGGTTTGCACCGAGCAAGCTTGTCTTCTGCCCATAGTGCATCCTGGTGACATCTCTTCCCCAGGTTAGTGACACACACACCCGGCCATCCACATGATGTAAAAGAAAATGTGATTTATCAGACCAGGCCACCTTCTTCCATTGCTCTGAGATCCAGTTCTTATGCTTTCTTGCCCATTGTAGGTGCTTTTGGTGGTGGACACGGGTCAGCATGGACACCTGACCGGTCTGTGGCTGCACAGCCCCGTACACAACAACCTGCGATGCTCTGCGTGTTCAGGCACCTCTCTATCAGAACCAACATTCACTTTGATCTCCAGTATCTCTTCCATTGGATTTGACTACACGGGCCAGCCTTCGCTCCCCACATCCATCAATGAGCCTCCACTCCCCACGTCCATCAATGAGCCTTGGCCCCCCTTGACCCTGTCGCCGTTTCACCAGTTTTCCTTCCTTGGACCACTTTTGGTCGTTCCTGACCACTGCAAACCAGGAACATCCCACAAGAGCTGCAGTTTTGGAGTTGCTCTGACCCAGCCGTCTAGACATCACAATTTGGTCCCTCAAATCCTCCCACTTGTCCATTATTTCTGCTTCCAACACATCAACTTCAGGGACAAAATGTTCACTTCCTGCCGAATATATCCCACCGCAATCCAGGTGCCATTGTAATACCCCCCCCCCAC